AAGAATCCCTATACAACAAATGGTGCTAGGCAAACTGCCTGGTGACCTGTAGAAGACTCAAACTGGACCCACACCTTTCACCATTAATTAAGATAGACTCTCACTGGATTAAAGATTAAATTAAGACATGAAACTATAAAAATACTAGAAGTGCAAGGAAAACACTTGAAGAAATGGGCCTGAGTGAATATTTTATGAGGAAGACCACCGGACAATTGAAGCAACACCAAAAATACATTACTGGGATCTGATCAAACTAAAAAGCTTCTGCACAGCCAAGAACACAGTAAGGAAAACAAGCAGACAGCCCTTAGAATGGGAGAAAATATTTGCAGGTTATGTCTCCGACAAATGTTTAATAACCAGAATCCACAGAGAACTCAAACGTATTAGCAAGAAAAGAACAAGTGATCCCATCTCAGGGTGGACAAGGGACTTGAAGAGAAACTTCTCTGAAGCAGAGAGGTCCACGGCCTACAGACACATGAAAAAGTGCTCATCATCCTTAATCATCAGAGAAATGCAAATCAAAACCCCTTTGAGATATCATCTAACTCCAATAAGATTAGCCCACATCACAAAATCCCAAAACCAGAGATGTTGGCATGGATGTGAAGAAAAGAAACACTTCTGCACTGCTGGTGGGAATGCAAACTAATATGTTCCTTTTGGAAAGATGTATGGAGATCACTTAGGGATCTAAAAATAGACCTGCTATTAGGTCCTGAAATCCCTCTACTAGGTATATATACAGAAGACCAAAAATCATTTTACAATAAAGATACTTGCACCAGAATGTTTACTGCAGCCCAATTCATAATTGCTAAATCTGGAAGAAGCCCAAGTGCCCATTGACCCATGAATTGATTAATAAACTGTGGTATATGTACACCATGGAATATTATGCAGCCTTGAAAAAAGATGGAGACTTAACCTCTTTTACGTTTACATGGATGGAGCTGGAACATATACTTCTAAGCAAAGTGTCTCTAGAATGAAAGAAAAAGTATCCAATGTACCCAGCCCTCCTATAAAACCAATTTATAGCTTTCATATGAAAGCTATAACCCAACTAAAACCCAAGAAGAAGGGGAAAGAGGAGAGGGAACAGAGGGGGGGGCGCATGGGTGGAGGGAGGGTAATTAGTGGGAACACACCTACGGTGCATTTTACAAGGGTACATGTTAAATTTACTAAGTATAGTATACTTGTCTTAACACAATAACTAAGAAAATGCAGTGAAGGCTATGTTAACCAGTTTGGTGAAAATATTTCAAATGGTATATAAAACCAGCACATTGTACCCCATGATTGCATTAATGATAGCTATGATTTAATTTTTTTTAAAAAAGTGTTCCCTTCTTTTCACATCCATGACAGCATCTGCATTTGGGGGACTTTGTGATGTTAGCTAATCTTACTATAGTTAGGTGATATTTCAAAGTGGTTTTGATTTGAATTTCTCTGATGATTAAAATGATGAACATTTTTTCATAAATAAATTCGGCAGATAATATTTGTGGGTCATTCATCTGTCATCTTCAGAGAAGACTTCGGAGATTATTCAAGTCTCTTGCCCACAAAGAAATAGGGTTTTTTTTCTTTTCTTATTGATTAATCTGAGTACTCTGAAGATTCTAGTTATTAGACCTTATTTGGAATCATAACATGCAAAAATCTTCTCCCATTCCAAAGGTTGTCTATTTGCTTTAGTTGTAGTACCCTTAGCTATACAGTACATTTTTAGCTTGATCAAATCCCAGTTATTTATGTTTGGTGTTGCTGCAATTGCCGGGGGGGGGGGTCTTCCTCATAAAAAAGTTTCCCAGGCCAATATCTTCAAGCATTTTCCCTGCACTCTCTTCTAGTATTTCTATAGTTTTATGTCTTAAATTTAAATCTTTTATCCAGTGAGAATCAATTTTTGTTAGTGATAAGAGGTGTGGGTCTAGCTTCAGTCTTCTACAGACCACTAGCCAATTCTCCCAGCACCATTCGCTAAATAGGAATTCTTATCCCCCATGCATGTTTTGTTAGACTTCTGAAACATCAAATGATGATATATGGCTGGGTTCATCTCTAGATTCTCTATTCTATTCCATGCCAGTACCATGCTTCTTTGATCACTGTAGATTTATAGTATAACCTGAAGTCCGATAGTACGATGTCTCCAGATTTGTTTATATTTGTAAATATTGTATTGGCTATTCAGGGTTTTTCTGATTCCTTATAAAGTGAAGTACTACTTTTTTCAAGTTCTTTAAAGTATGACATTGGTGCTTTGATGGGGATTGTATTGAATCTGTAGCTTGCTTTGGGTAGTATAGACATTTTAACAAAACTGATTCTTCCCAACCATGAGCATGACATATTTTTCCATTCGTTAACATCTTCTGCTATTTCTTTTCTTAGAGTTTCATAGTTCTCTTTTTAGAGATCTTCATGTTAGCCACAATCACAAGCCACAGCTCACTGGTAAAGGGCTGATTAGCTCCAGTTCCCCAGGCCCCTAATCCAGTCTCACATCACAAGTTTCAATGGCCAAATAATGGAAAATACTCATGAGGAGAAATCACTGGAAGAACTCTGGCAAAATGAAAAATCAGAGTATATCAGCTCCCCCAAGGAATAACAAAGGACACACAAAAGAAAATATCATCCATAGATAAATAGCTTAAATGTCAGAAATAGAACTCAGATTATAAATGGCAAATAACATGAATAGAATGGAGGAAAAGATGGAAATAGAAATCCAAAAAGTAGTTCAAAAGTTGCATGAAGAAGGCTCGGTGCCTACAGCTCAACTGGCTAAGGCGCCAGCCACGTACACCTAAGGTGGCGGGTTTGAATCCCCAGCCCAGACCCGCCAAACAACGATGGCTGCAACC